AGGATTAAAGAACTGCATAAAAATAGTAAATTATTACAGTATTTATAATATGAAATTGGATATAAAGTAGTGAAATCATTAAAAGAAAAATCTATAAATACAGTTACATGAAGTTCGACTGCTAAAAAGATTAAATGGAATTAAACTATACAGGAGGCTGTTAACTGTATTTATACAATGTTATACAGAGGAACGCACATCACGTTAGACACAGAACGCGCATCGCGTATGAAACAAAATGGCTTCTAAATTCTCAATGTCGCAACTCTTTCTATCTATGGCTCTGTACCTAGCAACAAAAGGGCGCCCTATACGTCTGGACCAAGTATAGAAAACTTGCATTATAAAAAGAGAAGAGCGCCGCGTACGTCGTGACCAGTTTTCACCTCATTTTTGCTATGCGAGTGCTCTATCTTGTATTTCTAGTATCTTTGATCTTAATTTGTCTTAAACCAATAAATGGACTGTACCACCAACAAAGAAGAATAGGCTAGGCGATACCATTTTGCTAAGGTGGTCAATGGCAATTGTGCTACAATGACTAGCAGTGGTTTATTCTAGTCCCAACCTGGATCTGAAATTGGGGGGGGGGGGGGGAAGTGAGGAGGAAGTTAACATTTTATAGGGGAAGGGGAAATATTTTTTCCCACAGCAGACTGCAGATTCAATTTAAGATGGGAGATATAAGAAAATTAACACATTGCTGGTATTGATTGATATATTTGCGCACTAACGTGTAAGCCTTCGTTCACTCTAAATTGTTTTTAACTGGCACTATATTTTAATTCCAATATGAATATGATTCCAATATGAACAGAAGTGATTTTAATTAATATTGTTGATCTTTTAGAACCTTTTATATTTTTTTTTTATGTATGCTTTATGTAAGATGTTTAGTGTTTATAGAGTTTTGTCTTATATTGCATTTACCTTGATATTGAAAATGTAAATTTTATTAACATTACAGTATTATTTCAAGTCACAAAAACAAAAAGTGTTTTAAAAAACTATAGAAATTTACAACTTAGAAATTGCAGTATACAGTATTTTAATACATTTTCAAATATTCAACTGAGGTACTAAAATACAAATAATTAACTTTATGAACAATTTAACCAACCCAAATAGTTTTAAATTGTCTTTTTACTATAAGCTGTACAGCAGACAGACTGACAGTCTTCTTCATCTTTTTTTAAGTTTAAATTTTTTAATTGGTAGAGGTTTCAACTGATTGGTTGGTGTATTAGTTGTCTCTTTATTTTTATTGTAGTCTCCCTTTATACTCTGTTCACATGATTCATCCTCAGCACAATCAAGAGCTGATAACAGCGTGCTATTACTACTTGCAGCATCTTTTATCTTCTGCATTTTTACAGCCATTGGTACAAGCACCTTAATATTTTTATTTTTTACTTTTGTTTTTTCCTTCAAAGTTTTGTTAAAAGCACGTCGAAAACCAGATTGATGCTTATGCGGCAGTGAGACTGAGTTCAGTTCATTCAATTTCCTCTTCTTTCTTCTTCCATTATCCTCAGAGTCCTCATCGTTGTTGATACCTCTCTTCTCAGAGTTTTCATCAAGTTTTATCGAATGTGGTAGACATGGCTGATAAGTGTGTAATTTACCACTAACAGAGTCCAACATGTTGGAGTCTGCTTTGTTAAAACTACTTGCAATTAGCCTAATGTTTCTTGAGACTTGCGTTTGTGGATTTCTTTTAACCTTCTTGGAATAAACATCTCCATCTGAAATAGAATATAATAGTGTATAAACATATAGTGTGACTTTTCAAAGTGCATTTGAGGAAATTATAATAATCCTATAAACATAAAATACAACCGCTGAATAAAAATAACATTATTTTCAGTGCATTGCTCAAGCTAGCTCACTTCGATTCAAAACAATCCTAAAGTACTAGATATTAGTAATATTAATATCTATTTCCATTTAAAAATTAATCAATACTGTATGAGAAATAAAGTGAACGGAAGCATACATGTAATACACCTTAAAAAGTACTTTACAATGGAGCAAATATATAACAATGTCTGCTTTTTAATGAGAATTCAGGCAATACAAAGCTAAAAGTTACATTTAAGTACTTTAAAATGTAGCCATATATACTATATAATAAAGTAATTCAAAATCAACTATGGAGGCATGCATATAATGAAGTATTTTACAGTGGTGCACTCACAAAAATGTATAAGTTGTGCTGTTGGCTGTGGCTTCTCTTGTAGCCATATATGGACTAGAGGTGAAGCCCATCCGCTTGTGCTAATTTCAACAAATTTTCTATCATCTGCCATGAATGTTAGATGCAAGCTCTCACAAAGAGACATCACTCCTTCATTCTACAATTTAAACATTATAATAATAATAACAATAATACATGGCATTTATACATATCATTCACTTATTTCCTATTAATGAATAAAAATTATTAAGCGAACCAAAGTTTAAGGTGGACAAGGGAAACTTGGGCAGGTTTTTTTTAAATGTCTCGTTGCTCACATGTCACAAACAAATAAAATCAAAGTAGATTGTGAATGGTTCGTGAAAACAAAAAAACACAAATAAGCGCATACTGGTTGTCAAGCACATCTTTTCAGACGAGTAGGTGGTTACCCCGGTGTTCTGGTCAATACAGCCCCTGTTGTGGATAGGCGATAGTAGCTGGTACCATTTTACCCGGAAGCCTAGACATGGAGAGACCCTTAGGGAGAAGCAAGTTACTGTACGAGCAAGTCCACACCTCAAGCGTTTTGAGATTAAAAGTATTCTTTACCACAAAATGCGTATTTTAAACTACTTTAACTACTTTCATTGTGTTAGTTCATGATATAAGCGATGATTTTATTGTGTCTTTACTGAGCAACACAACCAAAATATTCTTTTGTGTTTTTTAATTTTTAGGTACCGTACTCACCGAAATAAAATTATCTGACACGTCCAGGAACTTGAGTTGTTTAAATGCTAACAGGTACCGGATGCTGGAATCATTAATCTGAAGGTTACCTAAACAATGTAAACAAATTGTATTATTTGAGTCTGAACATGTGTGAACAAAGAATTTAAAATAGCAAGAGGTCCGACTATTGAGATAGGGGGCGCCCTATTAGAATTTGAATATAGTTCAAAACTCAAGCATGCGTTCTATTGATGCAGCACATGTTCAATACAAATGCCTTTTACGTCCTTTTAAAGGGCGCCCTCTAGTTCGTGGTAGGACTTTTTGAGATAGGATTCCATTTCAAAAAAACCTCGACAGTCGGAACTTTTGCAATTCCATACCCTTTTGTGTGAATGTTGGGTCTTTTTACACAGAGCACAGCAGTGGAAGAATAAGCAAAATTATTATTATATTCTATATACTCTACTCAGAGACGGTGTACTGTAGTAGTAATTGAAAATAGAATACCTGCTAGTTGGAGGGATGCTAAATCAACCGGTCCATCTTTCAACATACGAACAGGTGTTGTAAGACATCTTATTCCAGCTCTGCTTATCAAATTGTATGATAGTCCTAAATTCTTTAATCTGCAAAATATATATATATATACCTAT